ATTCTATTCTTAACCTTGCAACTTTTTGTTCTGAATTTAAGATCAAAGCTTCAAATAATATTGTCTTTACAAGTATGTAAATCGTACTACTACGAGTGTCTCGTAAAAGAATTAGGATTAAATTTGCACTCAGGTAATACAAAAAACATCATTTGACGAGGATGAGATTTTGGCGAATCATAAGTCCTTCATTGCTTCAATGAACATTACAACAGCAATTCGGAGGACTTACCTTTTTAGTATTGGATACCTAAGCTTCACAAAATTCCTTACAAATAAAAGTACATTGCCGGCTCATCTGCATGTTCGACAAAAGAATTGTCCACATTAGATTGACAAAAATCTGTCCTCAATGAAAGATAGTCTTCAGAAATACTGTGAAACTGTTTACTCGCATAGTTGTATTAACCATATGTGCATTCTAGAAAAAACTCTAAATAATTTCTGGATAATTTTACATCTCGATGTTTCCCTGAAATTAGTTCAATCAAAACTTGATTTGTCACCCCTGTATACCACCATTCTCCATGTGAAATTGAAAAATCGTCTAAAACAAATAATCTACAATTCTTTTCAACATAAAAATGGTAGCATACGCTATTTTATCACTTAGGGATACCATAAGGCATATTTTTGTTAATAGTGAACAAAAAGGTAAAACATGTTACACAGAGGAACAAGTGATCAGTTTGCTGGAGTATCTTATTGATAACATATTTGTTGAATTTGGAGGTAGACTTTTTCAAAGAGGGGCGAAAGACACCAGAGGAACATTCAAACTCATATGTCAAAAACAAACAGACAACGCCATGGCTAAACGAAAAAAGACCAATAGACAAACAATAGTACACAAAACACAACATAGAAAACTAAAGACTTAGCAACACGAACCCCACCAAAAACTGGGGGTGATCTCATGTGCTCCTGAAGGGTAAGCAGATCCTGCTCCACATGTGGCAACCGTCGTGTGTCTCATGTTATTACAAACCCGGTAATACGTCTAATTCGGTAGGTCACATTCGAGTCTGTTTGCTTTATTCACACGTTGTTGTCAAGATAATGGAATTTTATGAGACTGTCATACACGTGACCGGTTTAGCTAGCTATTAAACCAGGTTTAATCCACCATTTTCCACATAAGAAAATGTCTGTACCAAGTCAGGAATATGACAGTTGGTATCCATTCGTTTGATGTTTTAGGGACTTTCCGTTTTGAATTTTCCTAAGAGTTCGGTATTTTTGTAATTTTACTTTTTTCAACTCAAATTTCAACTGTGAATAAAATTTTAAAAAATGAATTGCGAAAAAATAAAATATTTGAAACTTTCTTCTTCCGTATTTATCAAATGAATGTTCTCTTAACGATCCTGTATTGCGTTTAACAATGTTTAATATACTAAGTGCAAATAGAACCACAACGCATCTTATTCGATGTCAACCCACGATGACAATGCAAAATAGTTCTTTGAAACGTTTCCCGATCATCATGTCATCATGCAACACGTTACAGTTGTTCTAAAATCAATTAGTTTTGCAGCTACAACAATTTTGATTAATATCACAGGGGTCAAAAGCAACTCACACATTTTCAGCAATATTTGACTACACTGTACTTAAATACATGTGATAGTTTTTAAACTTTGTTATATTTTATTACCTTTGCAAGAGATGTTCATTATAGTTGAAATGTGCCATCCAATATACAACTTTTTTCTCAAAATCAGTAAGCTCGGAATTTATCTAAAAACGTTTTGACTGTATGCAAATCCAAGATATGCAAAATACCATAATCGGTCATGAATGCTTATAAAATGAAAAAAATCACTCAATTGGCTCGTTTCTATTTGCATTCAATCACTTAACGTGGACGCAAATTTTTATTTTATTTATTACACCCTATAACCAAAACTCCATACAGCGTTATCGTTCGGGTCGTACTTCCCGAAGCGTAGCACTATGTTACCATTGTTTCGGAGCTAAAACCAGCTATATATGCTGTACCTGGAATATAAGTAACACAAATCAAAATCACATGTACATGATTGAAAAATTCGTTATAGCGAAAGGCAATCGTAACAGCAGACATAAATCTACTATACACGATAGAAGAAAAAAATATGTTTTAATGGCAAATCGGAAACACTTATCTTTTTGTAGCTATAGTATGATAGCCGGTGTGTAAAGATTGATAAAATGCTGAATGGTGTCATACAAAATGGAAGTAGACATTATATATGATAATAATCGCCATGTCAGCCGATTACAAACTATAGAAAATCGTTCAATCTTATCAATTGTAGGTTATCAATGGTGACATGGCTACTAATCGTCACAATAGATTCAACAACCGAAACAGTATAGAAGAAAATGAAAGCAGTGACAGCGATGAAACAAATATGGGTAAATCTCTGCAAAGTTCACAATTTTTTCTGTGTCTCGAAATATAAGTAAGTATGTGATAGTAACTAATTAATATTCTGTTTTGATCACTTATCTGAACAAAAAATTTTAATTAAACGATATTCATCAATCATTGTAGCATGACATTGGTTGCAAAATTCAGTACTTTTCATGTGACTGCAATTGTAGTTGACTTTACGAATTTTGAGTATTTTTGTTTTCCAAACTGTTTTTACTTTCCTTTAATAGCGATATTTTGTCAGTTTGAATGATTTTCCATCTTTACACATTACTTTTTTCCACATGGTACATTGTGTGGTCTTCATTCATATGTGACATTGCACATTCATACATTATGTTGTATATTTTATTCCACTTTTTCCTCAATTCAATTCCACAGTTTTTCAATCGATTGCCATACATTGTTTTTAATTTTTTATATGCCAAAATTCCATGGTCAGAGGTCCAGTGTTCATATATTAAGCTAATGGGTTTTAGTTGCTCATCACAGTACTCACATGACACTTTTGTAAACAATTTCTAAATTATTACTTAACTTGATGTCAAACAGTTACTATAGATTAAGCAAGATAGGTTAAATGTATATTCTTCTGTAAAGTCTCCAAGTGCTTGCTTTTAACCAACGATATTCCTAGTAGTGTATAGGAGGTAAGATAAAAATTGTTATCGTTATAACCGTTTGCTTTTTGTACACTAATGGTCAATTTCATACAGTGTAATATGAGATTCAATCACAAAATTATAGAATATTTGCAAATAGTGGTAGTGGTATACCAGCTGACAGCTTTGAGTCCCCTTATGTAAATGAAAAAACATTCATAGCTAAAATGTTTGAATAGAAGACACTAAAACCAATTCAAACAAACGATTTGCAGACATAAATACTTCATAAAAATGGACTAAGGGAATCGTACATACATTGTTTGAAGTAATTGAAACAACATCAACAGATAATTCCTTAGAATAGCCGACTGGTAAACACACCAAAACGATTAAAAAATATGTAATTCTAATATGATCTGCACATCTTCAAATATTTTTAAAATGGGATTGGCCCGTTATATGTTTTCCCTTGGTTTTTTACCTCGAAAAACTATGTTGCCGAAATTTCTTTCGTAACCTATTCATGCGCGATACACATGCATGGAATCATTGGGTTCTACGAAAATTGAAATTGTAAAACAAAAACACTTAAGGGCTGTTCTAATGCATCACAAATACAAATAATGCTTAGAACTTGGAAACATTTATACATTTATAATAAAATTAAATTCCACGAAATTTTATGAGTGATCTTGTCGCATTTATGTCATGCCAAACCATGACGTCATACAAATGAAAAGTCTCAAGCTAAAGGTTGTTCCATTACATATTCGGATAATATCTCATTTAACATGTTAAAATGGAGTTTTTGAGGTAGTTGTTGTTACATTTTCGTTTTTTTTTTGCATTAATTGAACATTAATGGCTTCCAGACAGTCAATATTTTGTAGCTCATCTCTTAGTTGCGACATATTAACTGTGCATTTCGATATAACATGTTACTTTTATTATTCTTCCCTTAGTTTATTTATTTTGTATTCAAAATTATTTATTTTGTATAAATATATTTCCTTTCTCTATTGGTACTGTACACGTATACCTAACAACAAAATTATTTTCATTTACCTGTGTTTAAAGTTATAGCAAATGGATGGTATTTTTGTTCGAGCATATTGTTTTTCTTTAATTGTTTAACATTTCTTACCGATATAACATGTTACTTTTATTATTCTTCCCTTAGGTTATTTATTTTGTATTTACATTGTGTCATTGGTCAAATTTATTTGTTCAGTGTATGTTCAATGGTGTTAATATGTCCTTAGATTGAGTTAAGCTATTTCAGTTGATATTTTATAGTGTGTCTTTCTATGTTGTGATGTTACACTATTGTTTCAGAAAAAGGGTGAAGGTTTGGTACCATTAAAACGTTTAAACCCGCTGCATTTGTTTGCACCTGTCCTAAGTCAGGAATCTGATGTTCAGTAGTTGTCGTTTGTTGATGTGGTTCATAAGTGTTTCTCGTTTCTCGTTTTTTATATAGATTAGACCGTTGGTTTTCCCGTTTGAATGGTTTTACACTAGTAATTTTTTGGGGCCCTTTATAGCTTACTGTTCGGTGTGAGCCAAGGCTCCGTGTTGAAGACCGTACTGTGACCTATAATGGTTTACTTTTATAAATTTTGACTTGGATGGAGAGTTGTCTCATTGGCACTCATACCACATCTTCTTATATCTATTTGACGATAGATGCCAATTAAAATAAAATATTTATTTTAAAAAGTTACAAATGTTTCGGTTAAGAAAATATAAGGTTTAATATTGATGTCTAAACTGGGCAGATTAACTAACAAACTGAATAGAACGACAATAAAGAGTAGCAGTTGTTAATCTTGATTCACCGGTATTTCAATTGTTATGCTGTATATATATTGTTGCATTAATCCTCTCACAGTTTGTGCCATTTTCCTAAAAACATTTTGCACAATATGATATTTTTTTTCAAATAAATAAGCAATTTTAACTCCACTCTTACACAGGAAACAACTCTAATGAACACACAAGTAAGGGTCGTGTCACATGGAATTCACACAAAATGAAGTCCATGAGAGATTCAACGAGACTCGGCGGTTCTTTGCATGGAACAAGCCTGTCTACACTGATGGCATATACACATTATAGTATTGTTGTTGGTATTGAAATCACAAACTGGACCAAGTATCGTTTGACCAAACCAAAATCGAAGACATATTCAGGATACATATCAACTCCCGCTGTTTCAGTACGACCTGGTCATAAAGAGGCAATGGTAAATATTTATAATTTACTGTTTCGTTTTTAGTACCTATAGTTCGCTTGTCTTTAATGTGCTTTGTCTATAGAGTGTCCACACGCCATTTTGTTTTTTTTTTGTTGACATAGTTGTTTGTTTTTTTATAGTGATTAAGATTATAACACAATATTGACTGCTGTAACCAAATTTTTGACTTTTAACCTATTATGTCTGTTTCTTTTGCTCACACGTTGTTGTCAATATAATGGAATTCTATGCAATTGTCATACAAGTGAGAGGTTTAGCTAGCTATAAAACCAGATTAAATCGACCAGTTTCTACATGAAGAAATGCCTGTACAAAGTTAGGGATATGACAGTTGTTTTCATTCGTTTGATGTGTTTGAGCTTTTGATTTTGCCATTTGTAAAGGGACTTTCCGTTTTGAATTTTCCTTGGAGTTCGGTATTTTTATTATTTTTATTTTTTTATTTCTTCTCTTGTAATTGAAATTTCGAGTATCATTTGCAATTTTAAGAATTATGTTAGAGTACTTGTACGTCAAGCCATGCATTTTTCTATTTGTTTTGTGTAAGGAAAATATTCAAAAACTTACCGGCCAGCCATGAAATAAAAACCAACGCAAAACTAATACACATATAAACTTGTAAATTTTGCATATACATTATTATTCTATAATTCAACTAGACTAAGTAAACTGCACATGGAACAGTTGAAAAAGGCATGTTGGACCAAATAATGATTGAACAATCCAGCTTTTGTATGTGTTGTTGTTTTGTGGAGGAGTTAAAACAATAAAATGTACAGGTTATTTTAACAATGAAATTACTTAATATTAAAGTATTGGCGTGTTCTGTACATACTCTTCAATTATCTTCATATAGTTCGGCTGCCATAAATTCATTATAGTTACTGCTTGAATCTAGGGGCAAAAGATTCTTGATGTAAATATTCTGGCCTGTGACAAATATGGGGAACAACATTTGCGTTAGGCAGAATGATAATTATTATTCAATCCTACAAACTGAAAGACAATGCAGGAAATATTGTTGTGCACACTACCAACTTTTAATAGATTTTCACGCAAAATTAAAAATCCGCGTAATCAATAGTTACCTCACATCGCCTCACCTATCCTCTTCACGACGATCGGCATTTAAGGCCCGGATACATTATTTAAATTTTACACGTCCTTAGCTGTTTTCCTTGCTGTAGCCCAACTGTTCCTTTCAAGTGTCGTTCTTTATGTCTCGACAGTCCCTCTCCAGGTGGTTTTTGGACGTCAAACTTTCCTCTTTCCCTACGGTTTCCATGTCAGTGCCACTGCATATATACTGTTGGTTTCCATTCTTACATGGCCAATCCATCTCCAACGCCTTTCCATAATATCATCACTTTAGTTCTTTGTCCAGCTCTGAAGTGAACGTTTACATTTGGTATGGTGTTAGGCAATCTCATTCTCAGAATTTGTATCATATCTATTTAGAAAAGTGTTTCATTGTTTTTGTCTTTTTCAGTTCTTTTGCTATCTCGAATTTGTTTTCTATTTCATTGTCACAGCCACCTTTTGTTGCTATTATTCTTCCTAGGTATTAAAGTGAAGGTATCAACACTCTCTAGGTCTTTTTGATTTAACTTAATTAATCATGGGTTGTCATGAGTGGTGTTCATCTGCAATTCTTTTGTCATGGGCGTATTTATCTTCAATCCTATCTTGCTGGCATTTTCTTGAAATTTGCTTTTTTTCAGCTGTATATGTTGGAATTTTGAAGATAGTAGTGCAAGGTCGTCTGCGAAATCAAGCTCCTCTAATTTGGTGATAGATTATCATTTTATTGTTGTTTGCTTCATGACATGGTCAATGGCTATTAACAGAAATAAAAGGCTGGACATTATACAACCTTGCTTTATTCCTGTTTATACTTTGAACCATTCAGATTGTAAGCCTTTGTCTATGACTGCACATTCGAATGCATTATAAAATAGTTATGTGATGATCATGAGTGTGTCTGGGATATAAAATGCTTTCAAGAAGGACCATAAGCTTTCCGTGTGGATGGAATCAAATACGTTTTCATAGTCTACAAAGTTGATGTCAAGAGGAGCATTCCATTCAGACCATTATTCAATGATGTTTCGTAAAGTGAAGAGTTGCCCAGTAGTCCTTTTTTCTCCTTTTGAAACCAGTTTGTTCTTATCTGAGCTCATCCTCTATTCCTTCCTGGATCTTTGAATAATGATTTTGGAGAATACCTTACTTGGCACAGATAGTATAGTTATGCCTCTGTAGTTATCACATACTGTTCTATCTCAATTCTTTTTTTTTTATTTTGACAATAAGACCTTGATCATGTCTAGTTCACTCCTTAATTATTATTTCTTCGTTCATATCATATTGAAAAGAGTGTTTCTTTTATATGACTTCTCAACAGTTGTAAAGTGAATATTCAATCCGCGGAAAAGCCTTCTGTCCGCCTGCACCACTACTACCCCGAACATCAAATGGTCGTCCGCTAAGGATACGCAAACTTTTTTTATTTATAACTCGGCATATACATTGGTAAAAAACTTAATTCATAGTTTAATGATATTTTGTTTATTCAATGTTTCTTTCTTTAATATTCATACTAACATACACTTTATAAAGTATCCAGTTTTGTGTACACTTAACCCGCACATGGACTAAATTGACTATCAACTACATGTAATCAGAACTTGATTAAAACAACATATAAACATTGATGTTAATGAATGAGAAGGTAATATAGTTTAGTTTAAGTGTTGATGACACTAACATCACACCGAGTTCAGCTCAATGTGATCACAGCCTTATTTGTATGACAGAAATAATCAAACTCTTGTTTAGAAATTCCAATGGGGAACACATATACCATTACCAAGGATCTAAATGTATAAAATCCTAACGATTGTGAAAATGACATGTCTACCATGTAGTTTAGAAGGATACTCAAGAAACTGATGGAGGCCAGAGGTCGAAACGTCTTTACAAAATAGACAAGCAAACTGTTTATTACATTCTGCTTATTGCCTTTTGCGATTTAAAACATATAAATTCATTAGTGTTGCTGTAAGTTTAAAAATTTGGATACCTAATTTCTACAAAAAATATTGCTTAATAACCGATAATACGTTATTCCCAATTGTGAACTTTCCATTTCTATGTAGCAACATTCCAGCAGCGCCTGCATACTGAGTATATATCTCCCAATTGATACGATATTCCCGGGCTTGTGTTTCCTATCATGATTTCCTTGATAGAGGATTGCTGCTCACAAGGAAGCTATTAAACCAAGAGTTCCAAATGGTGAAGTTGAAGTCATCCCTTCGTAAATTTTACGGACGCCATCACGAGTTGGTTGACAGTTATGGAATAACCGTTTCACAGATGATATCGGATATGTTCCTTATGTCGTAACTACAATACCCTCCCTTTTCACGAATGTGACTTACCGAATTAGACTATTTACCGGATTTGTAATAACATAAGCAACACGACGGGTGCTACATGTGGAGCAGGATATACTTACCCTTCCGGAGCACCTGAGATTACCCCCAGTTTTTGATGGGGTTCGTGTTGCTTAGTCTTTGGTTTTCTATGTTGTGTCATCTGTCCTATTATTTGTCTGTTTTTCTTATTATTTTTGGCCATGGCGTTGTCAGTTTGTTTTCGATCTATGAGTTTGACTGTCCCTCTGGTATCTTTCGTCCCTCTTTTATATATAATGTTTCGTCCAGTTTCGTCTTTAATATATAAAAAAAAGTATTGTTGTCGATGTCGTGTAAAATTAACATATCTTTTGATTAATATATCTAAATTATATTAATATTTTATTAAATTTTTAGATAATGCATAAGCACGGTTATACCACGACAGGATCAAGTGGAATTGTCTCTTGGCTAATACAACACAAAGAGAGGCGCATTACCATCGTGTGGAACTCACCATATTTTTCAAGCAACAGTATGGGTATTTGCCTAACGACGGTTGGTAATGATACTCATAACGATTCCTGGTTCAATATTATTAGTAAAAAGCAACAGGATGAGAAATTGAAATATGAATTTTCTACGTTTTCTGATACGAGTAGTGAAATGATGATTGAAGATGACGATTTTCAGATATTTGGTTCCATGGGAACCAGTAGTAAACCAGAAGTTAAAATAACACTGCGTCCGACAATGACACATGACCTCTCTTATACAGGACCGCCATAGAAGCCGGAAACATATTGGCATAGAAATGGACTGAAAAGTGGGTGGCAACAAAGTTAAACTTCTGAAAATGACAGAAAAAACTTACATAGTTTTATAGAATAAGTGCAGAGTTAGTTAGTGACCTCTTTCACTGGTATCTTTTATATTCTATGTTTTTTTTTGCCAAAAAATCACGTTGAGGAGAAGGAGGGAAAGGGGTGCAAGCTGGTTGTCGTTCACATCATACAAGAAGTAGGGCCAGGTCACTTTGATTATTGCACAACCTGAAGCAAATGCAATGCCTATCAAACTTACTTTAAGTTAACAATATCACAGCTTCATAGTATGCTTACATTGAAGTTTCGATGACATAATGCAATACTTCTGAGACCACATAATTTAGTTTAAACTACTTACATAAGACTTTTTGATTCATAAATGCAACCATTCATAGAGGTTTTGACAGATTTTGAGTATTCATTCAACATCAAAATAAAGAGGCTAGTGTAAGATCATTAGAAACCCCTTTACGTTAATTCATCCGAAAGTAAATGATGCTCCATATTGGTTATTGGTATGAAAATAAAAAGATGTGGTTGGATTGCCATTGGCAATTCTACACCAGAAACCAAATGACATACTAGTAGAAGGTAGTAATTTCATTATAGTTCACCATACGGCCTTCAATAATTGGCAAAGCTCATACAGCATAGCAAGCTATTACAGATCCCCAAATGACACGAGTAAAACAATTAAAACGAGAAAATTAATAGCCTGATTTATGTACAATGCAATAAACGAAAAAATAGATATGGCAGGTTTAAACACGTAAGCTGGCGCCCAACCCTCCTCCTAGACTGGGACAGTGGTGCAACAGGACAACATAAGAACCAACTGTACACAACAATAAACGAAAAGCAAATATTATGATTTACAGCAACAAAACGACATCCACACAATTACATGTACAGACTACTGACTTAGGACCGACATATATAGAAAATGTTTAAACCTGTTTTCGCCCCTTCTAACTTGGGAAACAGCACAACGTAAGAACAAACTATACAAGTCAGTCGAAAAGAGTTCCTTTAAATCCAAATTATAAGAGTACAAAAGCACGCAGAATTGACAATATTTTATCAAAATTGACTTCATGATACGGTTGTATAGTATTTCTATATATTTAATGCAAGTGAATCTGCAGGGAAGTCTTTTTAGACGTTTTGGGTGTTTTCTATTTTACAAGTTTCTCCAGGGTTTTCCAGTTTCAAAACATTTTCCAGTGTTTAAAACAAATAAGCGAAATTTATCGATTGTTTTATACACATTGCCAAACGTTAATGAGGGGCCAATAGGTGTAATACCACCAAATCATAGTGCGTCACATCCGGTTGCTTACGAAAAAGGGTCGAAAAAAAATATTCCCTTGAACGTGACATTTGTAGGAAATTAATCCTACATTTCATTGCAGTAAAAAAATTTCTTACTCATAAATATGTATCTTGGGTGTTTCAAAGCACCATTATTTTTTATTTGGTGTTTCTATAGAATATTTTGGACACTTCAGGTTACATGGTTACTAAAGCTTGTACACAGGAAAAATAGGGGAGAAAGTTTGATTGGTTAACTTCCAGTGATGGTTATTTTCTTATATGCAATGAAATGTCATGTGAAATTTTGTCTATAGTACTGGACAGGATAAAACTTTACTCATGCCCAGTATTTCTTTATTTGAAACAAAGATAAATTCTGCACATATTTTTGAAAAGTGCAAATTTAACAAAGACTTATACAGGAAAATCAATGGTGGTATTACACATATAATGGGAAGCTGTACATGCACCTTTGACCTTGTGAGTACTCTCATTTGTTAAAATTTCATGCTATTTAAGTGAAATATTTCAAAAATTAAATATTCTGAGTGGATTGAGTCTCAAAAACACATTTTATGAGAAAATTGCCTTAAAATAGGACTTTACCATGAATATAAGTAGACAGAGCAAGTCATACTCCTTGTTTTTGGGAGCTTTTTCTGACTTTTTCGCCTTATTTCTTATATATAGCTATAATTTTCTTTTGAATTATTGATCTCTAGGCGACTCAAGAAAACAGTTTCTGGACAAATTCTATTGTAATAGAGTAAACGCAATTCAATTTTGTAAATTATTACAAACCACACATAGAAATAAGTTAAAATATATTTAAATTTAAAAAGGTTAAAATTTCACCAGCAGGTCGTCTTGGTTAGCCTTTGCCTGCATGTTTTTCTATTATGATAACTAAATGATCTATGTTTTTTAATTTTAGTTCATTTATATGTTTTGGAGTTTAGTGTGACGTCCATTCTCACTGAACAAGTACACATTTTTGTTTATGGGCCAGCTGAAGTCCGCCTCCGGGTGCGGAATTTTCTGCTGTGTTGAAGACCCATTGGTGGCCTTCGGCTGTTTTCTGCTCTTTGGTCGGATTGTTGTCTCTTTGACACATTCCCCATTTCCATTCTCAATTTTATTGTATAGTAATTGTAACATTCTTATCTTGTCATGTGCACAATTAATTTTGTATACTATGTATTATTATTTCATTCTTTGTACCAATGTTTATACAATGGTTTTAAAGAATAAAATTGTCTTGATACAAGGCATCCTGCGGTCATTAAATTAGGTTAATCAATCAGATTACAATGTAAATTTTTTATACTTAGTTGTTTCTTACCAAAGAAACTTGTTCATGTGTAGGTGTAAATGTTTATAAAGTTTTTAACATTTTTGAAGTATCAAGTTCATGTTTTAACAGGCATGCGCAAAAAGTAAACACTTGTATCCGGAATCTATATTATGCATGTTAGGTGGCAGAAACCAGTTATTTTACAATAAATCTTTAGAATTTCATGGATTTATGATTTAATTTTCCTGAAAAATCTTTCAAGCTTATATACAAATAAAATGTATGGTTTTGAGTAACTAAGATGTGTGCGTGCTTATGTGAATATATAGAAAACCTTTAAATTTGGGTGTCTCTGATGCTCTGATACAAATCTAATCCTCACCTTCAGAATCCTGCTAAAAGCCAACAAGAATTTTAGGCAAAATTCAAGAGATAAATGATATTCAATGAATTAGAGCCTTGTCCGTACCTATCCTTACCATCAAAATCTCAAGATATTTTTGTTTACATAAAACTGATTTTTTTCCCACTTTGATTGGATGCCGTCAAGTTAGGAGACCACAATTTTGACTTCTGATTGGACCCATGTGTGACGGAAATCCCAAACCTGTGTATTCAACTACTTACTTATGTAGTATAATAGCCTAGAATTTACATTCATTTATTTTTTCAGTCCAAATGATCCAGTTATATACCTCATTGCTTTACTATAACAATATTTCTGCGTGGGACACATGTTCTTGCACACCAAAACTGGTACCTGCCACCTTTAACCACTTAATGGAAAGAACATATTTCCATTTTGTTAGTCTGATTGAGTTCTGTAGTCATTTACCATTAAAAAAACATGCAGTTCATATGGTTACAGCATAAAAAAAATCATACATAGTTGTAAGACCAAATTTATTAAAGAAATAATTTTGTCTTTTGCCGTCAAACTGCTTTGAACGACAAAAAATTAGAAAAAAATGATTGTGTTCATATTTAATAAATTCTATTGTGTGAGTTTTCTGGTACAGTGTATGAATTATCCAACAGTTCTCAAAAATTCTTTAGTTTATTGTTTTATAACATGATATAAAACCATTTACAACTGATCTCAAGAAGTATTTTTCCATTGTCCGAGGTATTAAATAGTCTCAAATCTTGTCACTATCATTGTTCTGTTGACTGCAGTGCTGAAAAAGGCTTAGTTATGAATAAACTTTTTTTTTTTGGTACATATGTATCACTTTGTAGATCCATGATGCACTAAACTAAGTTTACATTTATTCGCAATCACTCTCATATCTCTTCTCCACATAAGAGAGCTGTGTAGGCCGCAAGTTAAAATTTTAGAATTGCCACACTATTCCTGATGAGAGAGACCAGTTTACTTATTTCTGTAGCCTGTCCCACTGTACTAACTATGTATTAGACCTATAAAAAAAGAAGAATTCATATATTCATAGTTAAAAAATAAATAAATAAGAAAATGTCCATATCATGTGAAATAAATCATTATACATGTTATAACAGGTAATATACAGTATATTCAGCTTTTCGTAGTATTATGCTGAGACTTATTTTACTTTTTTTCTCTTTGTAATTGCTTTTTCTTTATATTTTATGATATAAAATCATTCTATGGTGAATATAATCATTTTATAACTAATCAATTGAATGTCATTGTTTGTCATAGGATACAGAGTTATATATCTTGATATTTGATCATTCTTAAAATATCAAGATATACAAGTATTTTTTTTAAGAAAAGTGAAGTGTAGATTTGTCACCCTTATAATAGGCTTATTCTCATTTCGCCTTAGCTGTCAAAATCATTATATAAAATTAATCCTAGTTCGCCTTAGTACAAATTTTCAGGTACACAAGAATTAACTAAGGCGAAATGGGAGCTTGTGTAAACAATGTAATTAAGTTATTTTTTGTTTGTATTGCAATTAGTAACGGTTGATATTTGTTATTTTTCCCTCATCTTGCCACCTGCTGCATACTGTACTTTCTTTACCTCGTTAGCTGCTTGCTCTTTCTTGAACACATTGATAATTTCAAATTTGTTTGGATGTGCTGTTTTGACCCTCTTTTTCAGCTTGTTATGCCAGCCCTCTAAACGATTATTTATCCTGGGTCCTTCTGTTTGGTGGTGGTTCCAGGTTGGTTGTGGGTATCTATGTCAGAATTACATAGTCGGTTAATTTGGTGCAAGCATCTGTCTGTGGTGCGTTTTCCAAGGCGTGTAACCAAACGATCTAAGGGCAGTAATGGTAAGGCTGCTGCACGACGGACGAGTTTGTTGACATCCGGGACATCTTTGTATTGAGTTTGAAGCCCATATTCTTGTGTCTTTTTCCATATGGCTTTTGCGTTGTGGAACAAACAACCTTTGAGTTCTGCGTTTGGGAAGACACGAGCAACTGCATTTCTGGATGCACATTAACACAATTTTAAAGATTTTTTTATTATTTAATTTTTTTATTAAAGTTTTTGTTTAATATATATGCTAACAAGTCTGTGGGAAAACAGTTTTTTTTTTTTTGTTGTTCTTTTTAACTTTTTGTGTTGCATAATGTAAAGTTTTCTAATTGCATAAAATTCATAAAATTGCAACTTTTATTAAATTAAACACAAGAGAAGCAACTTTCGTACTGACTAATGTTTTTATTGAAGATTTTTTCTGATTTCACAACTTTTGAAATCATAAAAATTGTCACTTTTAATAAATGAATATAAAAATAATAATTCAAGAGAAACACTTTCTTAATTACATGTTGTTTAAATTGTTATAAAAACACAGAGGTTTAATTTCTTTATTTAATTTTTTTTATCTAAATTCACATTTCGCCTTAGTTCAATTCCTATATCGCCTTAGTATTTTTTTTACCTTTTTTACCTGGAATTCACAGCTAAGGCGAAATGGGAACACACCTCATAATACAGGTAAGGTATTTTGAGCGTTGACGTAAAATTTACTTATTTAAAGCTCACAGTCATCATTCTTATTCTTATATTTGTTTATCAAATATTTGTTAACTGTATTGTAAAATTTTAATAAACAGAATTTCTTTCTACATTCATTGCTCAAGAACTAGTGTCATATATAAAATCCAGTCATGACCTATATATATTTATTATATATAGACCTGTGTTTTTGACAAATATATAGTGTATACTACAGTGTAGACACACACAATTATTAGAACACCGACCTGTTGAGCCTATGATACACTTTAAACATTAAAAACATCACTGCTACTAAAAGCTGCTAGCTGTCGTGTTGCCCAGTGTAATTTTCACTGAAGCATTGATGAGGGGCGTAAAAGGGGGTATCTGCACGGAAGAACGCGAAATAAAATTGCCATTTCACGATGAACGAACAATTAAAAATGTCTTGCACGTTGATCTTTTTACCGATTTCACGAAACACGGTGAATAATGAACCTTTTTCACGGCTGCACGTGAAATAAAAATGGCAAAACACGTTGCACGAAAATAACCCTTTACCACCCTCATTGATGTATGTATGTAGTCATGGTGAATTATTCACAAACAGCAGTTATGTATGTAGTCAAAACACAATTGTATTAAAATGTACAAACTTTTTGTACAATCAGTTTTATACTTATTAGTAGTTAAATGTAAGAATTTTGTGTACAGTACTAATACATTGTAACCAAAGATAAATAGTATCTTGTTGTTCACCTCGGCCATCATAGAACTGACTTACCTTTTAAATTTCTATACGATACGGTTGAGAAATTAAGATGAAATAAGATAAGGTTGATGATTGAATCATAAGTATCTGAAACTAAGATGTCGATTTTGTTCACATATACGATTAAAACTACTTTGAAATCGTAAATGCATCAGGTATTTATCAAATATATTTATATCTCCTTTTACACCAAGATGTCGTTAAATGAAATTGGATACCCTGCATTTATCATGCTTTTCAATAACATATTGTCAAATCGCTGAAAGACCCCCCTCGTACTCTGAAGACCAGTCTGAAAATTGGTGTATGAAAAAAGTTTAGAATTTTGTTTGTACATTATTTTTTCCCAATCATGTTATCAATATTCAGCAATGATTAACAGTTGAAAAAATGTCAGTGTAAATAATTTCAAATGCACGAATAACGAAAATATATATTCTTTATTCCGAAAGCAATACAGCTTATAGGTATTAATATATCATTAAATATAGTAAACATCACATAGTACAATATAGTAATTCATTAATACTATTCATACAATTTAAATCAAATATAGGAGCATGATATTAATATAATTGAACAATCTTGAAGTATGATATATACATTCAACAATTACGATTTTTTTTTTCGGCAATACATAAATACTTCCCAAAATTATTAAGTTCTTTTATATAACGAACAGATAACAATTGTATAAGTTTAAATACTGATGGATTTCTCCAATAATAAGGTTTTATATACTTCGTACGAATATCTTTATATCTAATACATTCCAAAATAAAATGATATTCATCCTCAACAGAATTACAGTTGCACATATTACGTATTCTAGCGTTTCTGTTCATATTTAAAAACCTTACAGTTTCAAAGTTCAAGTTATGTGCATGTAAACGGTACTTGCTTATCAATGGTTTATATCTAAAATTAACAGGTCTATTAATATAAAACTGCAATCCATGACCGTCATATATGTATTTGTAAAACTGACATTTAGAAGACTCCTCAAAAATGACATTACTTCAGAAATAGATCTATCAGTAAAACGCTGTTTGAAATCACCCATAAAAACATCTTCATTTAAAACACTTTGTGTCAACCATACATTACTTTACCCATAATTACAAAATAAATCTCTTATTTTACATGACCATATTCAACTTATTTTTACTTTTTACATTGCCAGCCTCCAGCATTTTTGCATAACAATTTTTCAAAATACAATTGTCAGTTTTTAACAATTTACACCAATATTTCATCATTTTACAGTACCTCTGCACATACAATGGGACTCTACCTAGTTCAAAATACACCATGTAATTTGTAGTACTTTTTTTTACTTTCAAAATCCTCTTTAAAAAATATATAAGTGAAGAGTTTCAATGTCAATTGCTTTCTGATACCCCCACACTTCACTACCATAATTCACAATGCTTGAAACATATGTATCAAAAACACAGTGGTGTCTGTTTATTAAAATAGTCTTCTTTGATTTTACTGAATAAATTGAAAA